GGAGGCGGAGGTTGCGGTGAGCCGAGATCGCGCCATTGCACTCCAGCCTGGGTAACAAGAGCGAAACTCCGTCTCAAAAAAACAAACAAACAAACAAACAAGTACAAAAATTAGCCGGGCATAGTGGCGGGTGCCTATAACCACAGCTACTCAGGAGGCTGAGGCAGGAGAATCGCTTGAACCAGGGAGGAGCCGATACTGTGCCACCGCACTCCAGCCTGGGTGACTGTGAGACTGTCTCAAAACAAAGCAAACAAAAACTACATATACATATAACTAGAGATATATGAAATATACTATGGATGACACAAATATAAACATAAATGTGATGTACCCTAAATGATAAATGCAAAGCTAATAGTAATTACCTCTGACAAGAGATTAGGATTAGGGATGATCATTGAAAATAATTTTAAATTCATCTGAACTGCTTGACTTTTTATAATGAAAAGTTTACTCATTCTTTGAGCCAGTTCTTCTGGTGGTTAACTAATATAATAAATTAATTCCCTATGAATTATGATAATAGTGTTGCATATTATATCTCACAGATAAATTATTTACTTTTACCAGAAATCTTTAATACATTATTTTATTAATTTATTTATTTTGTCAAGACAGGATCTCCCTGTGTCACCCAGCCTAGTCTTGATCGAATTCCTGGCTTCAAGTAAAGTGATTCTCCTACTTTGGCCTCCCAAAATTCTGGAATTACAGGAGTGAGCCAATGTGCCAGGCCTTGGTACATTGTTTTAAAGAAAAGATAAATGGTGATCATTTTAGAAAAATCAGTGTGAAATACATGCAAGAGAAGAGAGATTTTTAGAAACCGCTTCATCAAATTATAGAGGGTCTACCTTCCATATTCATAAATGATCTTCATCTTATTGACTGTCAAGGTTGTTTAAAACTCATTTATATGTTAAGTCATAAAATTTGCTATGATATTATTATATCTGTGATCACTATAGATGGAAGACAGTCATTCTGCAAATTCTATATATTCCTTAGTTTTTCAGTCTTTAAGATAGGGAGAGTTTGAGTAAGCTGTAGAATGTATATTTATTATTTCAATGTGGATAAGAATCTTCTTGAGATTCTTTCAAGAGACTTAAAGCAGTACTACTTTATAATAAATGGAATTGACACGGCTTCTTTCAAATGCTTTGTATGAGCCTTCTTACCTTCCAAAACATCAGCATGCCCTAAAAAGTGCATTGGAAAGATCTGAAATAAGCTAATAGTTTAAAGAAATTGCTGATAATATCATTTAATAAAATTAAAACTTTGAAATTAATTGATTCTTCGTATTTTAAGTTAAAACAGACACATAAGTCTATTAAAAATTCACAGCTGGCCGGGCGCGGTGGCTCAAGCCTGTAATCCCAGCACTTTGGGAGGCCGAGGGGGGTGGATCACAAGGTCAAGAGATCGAGACCATTCTGGTCAACATGGTGAAACCCCGTCTCTACTAAAAATACAAAACATTAGCTGGGCATGGTGGTGTGTGCCTGTAATCCCAGCTACTCAGGAGGCTGAGGCAGGAGA